GGCTTTGCAGGCCACATAAAGAGCTTGGCCTTCCTTCCGTTGGTGAGGAGGGGGCCATTAGGAGGATGTAAGTGGGAAACGACACACCAGGTGAATTTCACAAAGACATCTGCTACCAATTTGGAGAGAACAGATGAAAGGAGGAAGAGACCACAGGCAGAAGGTCATTCAACAGGCCACTGTAGTCCAAGCAAAAAAAAAAAAAAAAAATGAAGTTAGCCTGGACAAAGTCAGTGGGAAGGAGAATAAAAAGAAGCAGCCCATTTTAAGAGTTTATAGCAAGAAGAGAGATTTGGTGTCCAATTAAATCAGGGTTTTGTGATGTAAGAACAAGGAATCTAAGTAGACTCCTAAGGGTTTCTAACTTAAACATCTGAGAGAATGGTGTTTTAACCTAATTGCTCCTCAGATTTACAACCCCAAGCGAGTGGGCTTCTGTTAGAATCTTCCATTTAAGAAATCATAACGGCCTTATCATTTTCTTTTCTTCACAAGTGAAGCAAACCTTCATTCATCCTGTTTTCTGAATCACATTGTTTTGCTGTTTCTTTTTTAATGGAAGACCTGCTTGAGTTCCATAATAACCTATAGTCATGTCTTCTTTTCTTCTTTTTTTCCAATCATACAGCACTCAACACCCAATTATCTTTATGTCGTCATTTCCTTCTTTTCATCTCGATTTTTCTCTAAGAAACCAGGGGCTATTCCAGGATCCAATGCTCCTCGCGGAAGGTCCTCACATTGTTATGTGTCTCTATCGCGCCCACAGCCTTTCCACAATCATTTTCCGTTTGACCTTGAGGCAGCTGGAGGAAAATGAAACTCCTTATTCCAAAACGAAGACAGTGAGACTTTCAGAGAGTTTGTGCCATACCTGATCAAGCTGGGATGGCACCCAGGGCTCAGGTTTTCTGAAACCATGTCCAGTGGTCTCTGGGCTCCTCTCTCTCCCAGCCAGATTTGAATTTTATTGACCAGTAACAAAGTCATGGAAGGAATTTCTTTAAAAAAATAAATAAATAAGGGACCAGCCCTAGCTGGTTTGGTTCAGTGCACAGAGCCTCAGCCCTTGGACCAAAGGGTCCCGGGTTCGATTCTCAGTCAAGGGCACGTACCTCAGTTGCAAGTTGGATCTCTGTCCCTGGTCGGGGAACATGCAGGAGACAACCAATCATCTCTCTCACATCGATGTTTCTCTTTCTGTGTGTCTCCCCCCCTTCCACTCACTCTCTCTAAGAAACAATGGAAAAATATTTTCGGATGAGGATTAGCAAAACAAACGAACAAAGATAAGGGACCAACAACTTTCGGGATCTGGGGAAGGTAAAGCTCAAGTCAGTTTCTGTTACATAAGGATTCATCTGGTCACTGGACTCTCCTTCCCACCCTCCGGAGACGCTGTGTGTGATTGGATTCAGGCAGTTTGCACGAGGATGCTCACTGCCCCTCTGCTCACTACGCACAACTGGCTACATCGGTTGGAAAAACCAACCCACGGAATAGACTCTGAAATTGGTACTGAAGCTTTGGCAGGGGACTGACTGAAAAGCGAAAACACAAAGCACAGCTTGTTTTGTTTTGTTAGTTTTGTGTGTTTTTTTTAACAGTAATTTCTAGTGGCGGAGACAGATGTTTCTTGAAGTGGCAAGAGATTTGCAAAGCAGAATGTTACAGCACTTACTGTAATTGCTTTATTAATATTGTATGTGTTTATGGCTTCTACCTTTTGGCTTGTGGCACCTCGTACTTCAAATGACATTGGGTTTCTTGATGACTGGCAGCTAATCTTTACTTCAGAGACCCTGGGAGCCACATCCCCAGCCTTGCTCTGCAGGGTGAAATCTTTCACGTGAAGCCACATGTTTGTTTGCTTCAGTTACACTGAGCAGCCCTCAAGGGGCACCGGAACACCATCAGAAATGGCAGTCCTAAACGTGCAGAAAAACTCTTCCTTTGCGGAGAAATGAATACCCAGCTACATGCCCATCTGTGCAACAGAACGGACCTATCACATCCTTCGCCAAGCCTCAGGACCGAATGTCAGCTGCAGCATCACGACAAGGATCTAAGACAGTGGTTCTCAACCTTCCTAATGCCACGACCCTTTAATACAGTTCCTCATGTTGTGGTGACCCCCACCCATAAAAGTTTTCGTTGCTACTTCATAACTGTAATTTTGCTACTGTTATGAATCGTCATGTAAATATCTGACATGCAGGATGTATTTTCATTGTTACAAATTGAACATAATTAAAGCATAGTGATTAATCACAAAACAATATATAATTATATATGTGTTTTCCCATGGTCTTAGGCGACCCCCGTGAAAGGGTCGTTCCACCCTCAAAGGGGTCGCGACCCACAGGTTGAGAACCGCTGATAAGAGATTGTGATTCAGGCTCTTGCAAAGACTGGATCTGTTAGGAGGAATCAAGTTTGCAACTGGCATGTCCTAACAACCTCCTTTGCGTGCTTGGCTTACTTTGCTTTGAAAAGTAGAGACCATATTTTTATTCTCTTCCAATGTGTTACTAAAAAGAGGGAAGAAGAAACGAATAAGGAAGTGAACCAACAAACAGACATTAAGTTTGGAGTTGATACGTTCTGAGGTTTGCTAACTGCTCATCCGAGGGGCTCCTAGCTGTTCCTGTATATTATCTCCCAGACTCTTGAACTCCAGCTGGGCGCTCACTGGGCTTTCCTGGGGGGAGGCTGGAAAGGGGCCTCTTTCCGGGAGATCTGGTCCGAGTTTCATGGTTGACATCATTATTGCAATTTGCTTCAGAACTGCCCCGAACCACAGCCTGGGGGTGAAGGGCAGGCCCCCCTCAGCCAAAGGCCATACGAGGTGAGTGAAACAGTAGCAAAGCCACGGGGAGATCCTGATCATAGAGTCATTTCCGAGAAGCGCTGGGACTTCCTTCTGAAACCAGCCAGCAGTGGAGGGCTGAGCTGGCATCATGGATTCAGAGTTTTGCACTATGGTGTGACAGTTAAATCCCTTTGGGCAAACATGACTGAAGGCCTCTATACATCACTCTGGAAAAAGAAGCCTCTTTCTTTAATTCATGTCCTAAGAGAAAGCCTAGTCCATATTTAACGTTAATTGACCGTATCACATTTTCTTTCCTGCCAAGAAATCTCCGTCCAGCCATGCATAATTCAGTGTGGTGGACAAGACCTCCATCCGTCTCCGAGGAGATGCTGCTGAGAGGGGCCGGGCAGCTGCTGGAGAGTCGCTTCCCAATGATATTGGATTAAGGCATTTTTAAATCAAGCAATTTAGATTGTTCATATATAGACAGATTAGTTGATGAAAAAAGGACAAACAAGAAATGTCATAAAAACATGTAGATTAAAAAATATATTTTTTTTTTATTGATTTCAGAGAGGAAGGGAGAGGGAGAGATAGAAACATCAATGATGAGAGAGAATCATTGATCGGCTGCCTCCTGCACGCCCCACACTGGGGATCAAGCCTGCAACCTGGGCATGTGCCCTGACCAGGAATCAAACCATGGTTCATAGGCCAACCCTCAACCACTGAGCCACACTGCGTAAAAACATGTAGATTTCTTTTTTTTTTTTTTTTTTTTTTAAATATATTTTATTGATTTTTTTACAGAGAGGAAGGGAGAGAGAGAGTTAGAAACATCGATGAGAGAGAAACATCGATCAGCTGCCTCCTGCACATTTCCCACTGGGGATGTGCCCACAACCCAGGTACATGCCCTTGACCGGAATCGAACCTGGGACCTTTCAGTCCGCAGGCCGACGCTCCATCCACTGAGCCAAACCAGTCTCGGCTAGATTTCTTTAATACACCATGCACAAGAAGCATAAATAAGTGCAGCTTGGAGCTAAGCACAGACACCTTTCTGTACTTCAGAGTCTTGATCTGGGTCAATGGCCCTTCTTTAATAGTGTGTGTGAAATGGCTTTTAGAACAAAGAAAGAAAAAAAAATAAGACTGCATATAATATATATATTTCAAGATGCCCCATTATTGCTGCCTTTAGTTTGCAAATATTAAGAAACTGAGTCAACATTTGTTTTTTGTTCTCATGGTCACAAAGTATCTATATATATAAAAACCTAAGCGACCAAAGGACCGAAGGACTGGTCGACTGGTCACTATGATTCGCACTGACCACCAGGGGGCAGACACTCAATGTAGGAGCTGCCCCCTGCTGGTTAGTGAACTCCCATAACCAACCTCCCACAATCCCTCCCCCTGGCCAGCTGGCCCTGATCAGCCCCAATCGGGACTAGGCAAGACAGCCCCAATGAGCTCCAATCACCGGCCAGGCCGTGCATGAATTCGTGCACCAGACCTTTAGTGACATGATAAAGAACTACTGGATCCCATATATTCAACCATGACAACCCTACAGTCACCTTGTTTTTATCCTTCCATAATCAACACTCCCTTCCCCAAATCTAACCGAATTCCTCTCCTTAAAAATAGACAAATGCTACTCTGCTAATACAAATAATAAACAATGGGGGATAAATCTCTATAGAAGTTACATTTCAGGTACTTAAGCTAATAACATCTTACAGGTAAACAGAGTATTTCTAAAGGCCAGGTTAACATAAAAAATATTATTAAAATACTGCCATTCCCTCAAGCTGTTCAACTGCACAACCAATCTGACATATTAACATACTGCAGAGTGAAGAGGCAGCACTTGCTACATTTCCCCCAGATTTTGTTTCATTTAAAATATTGTGTATAAAAGTCATAGTCAAGATACTGCTTACCCACAATCTCCCTGAAGTGCTTTGACAGCTAGGAGACCCTTTTTCAGTAGCTGAGCCATGTATACATGGATTTGCTGCCCCGGAATGCCTTTTTTTTTTTTTTTAAATCACTTACCAGCATTTAATTTCACTTTTCCTTATGGTTAAGGTTCGTTCTGACACTGAACCCTTTTTATTTGTGTGTGTGTGGGAACCAATTTTATAAATGGATAATGCTGACCAGAAGCTACCATATCTTACCTGTATCTTACATCTGATGCCTTCCTGGTCCACAGTGAATGCTTCCCCATTAGGAAGGAAGGAAGGAAGGAAGGAAGGAAGGAAGGAAGGAAGGAAGGAAGGAAGGAAGGAAGGAAGGAAGGAAGGGAGGGAAGGGAAGGAAAGGAACTCATGAATATTTTCTTCCAATTTCTTTTTTTTTCTCAAAATTCCAAGATGTGTATTTCTCAAGAATATTATGTTCCCTGGGCTGATCAGTATTCTCTTTCAATAAAACCACAGGGCATAGCTGTTGGGTACAGGAACTAAATGTCAGAAATTCAGTGCCTTGCTACTTGGCAGGAAACTCTGGCTGCAAGCTTTGTGTGTGATGTTTTTTCCACCTTCACTCTCTTATTGTGCTTTTTTTCAACAAAAGTTAGACAGTAATAACTAGTACATTTACACACCACAGTTAATGATTGTAATAGTATAAGGTAAGAGGATAAATACTTATTAACACAAAAAAATACAGTATAACCCTACAATGGATAGAAAAAATTATTTCAGCAGTTAATGAAAGCATGGATACATTTGACAGAATTACTTAAGGGAAGATAATCGCTTGCATGTCTCCTGGGGGGCAAATTAACTGGGTGTGTATGTGTTTAATCCTTTCAAGACCATAAAGTATAATTGTTATAAACTGCCACCCTCCTTGCCTCCTACCCAAGTCTGATGAGGCACCCCCCAGTTCTATCTTACCTTTTGGTAGTTAATTTGAGTTTCTCTTCCCAAGATGCACCACACAGTCTGCAGGGAAGGAGGCTGATAAAGCCATCCTAGGAAATCCTAGATGCTGTCCCCTGGGGTTAACTGTTGATCGCATAATGGACAATCAGAGCAGTGGCCATTTGGATGAAGAAGGGGGCGGGGCCTGTGGATAGCACAAAGAAACTAAGGGCGCTTTCAGAAAACATGCTATAGATTACATCAACTCATTTTTCATTATCCATCCCCTTGTGCCTTTGGATACTGCACTCTGTATTAACTTGCTGGCCTAGCCTCATTAAAGAATGCATATGTCAATGGGCTTTCCATGATCATCCTGTTACCTGCTAATCTAGCCATGGGCAAAGAGCTTTCCCTGGAATATATGGAATATATACCCTCGAGGCGAAGCCACTCATCACATACAGGGAGCGAATCTATCAAACTGCAGGGAGTAAAATAATCTTAGTTAAATATATTAGAAAGTAATTTAATAAGATGAGTAAATGAGCAGCTTAGTGCCAGGAGCTGACACTTCCTGATTAGAAATGTCATGAGAGTGGAGAAATTCTCTCGAGACAATTAATTTATAAAGGAAATTCATTTTATAGTTCTAGCAATTGGCGATGAGTCACTTAACTGCTCTGGCTCTCTGCTCAATCACAGCCTCTATACAAGGAGGAGGCTGGGCAAGGTGGCTGCGACTCTGGAATTATTTGAGTTAGGTTACATTTAAAATTCTGAGGATTAACAAAAAAAGGGGGGGGGAGACTTTAGAAGATGGGAACATAGATTATTTTAGAGTTCTTGATAATATAGACTTTAGCAAAATAGATTACAGTATGTGATGTGTAAGAATATGTGGGATTCTACAGCCAGAAAATCTAAAAATGTCCCCAAGAAGGGATGGGAAACACTGAAATTTTCAAGTAACCACAGCGGGGAAGAAAAGGAACACAACTGAAGGAACTGTGTCACTTGGAAGCAGGCACGAAAATGGAATTTGAACAGCAAGAGGTTTATGGGGGGAGAGGGTGGGCATGCCCGTGAAAGATGAAGAAGGAATCAGATTTGGGCAAGGAACACCCTAGGATGGCAGTGCAGATCTGACCCTTGGGGCAGACAAGCAGGCAGGGGGCAGGATTGGGCAGCACACCCAATGGGAACTGGGAATAGAAGATTGTTGAGTAGACACAGTCTGCCCAAATGGCCAGGAGCTAGGATCCCTGACACATGCCCAGATATTGGCTGGGGGCTTCTTAGAAAGTTTGCAGCCCCGGCCCACAGCTGAGGTGGTGACATCTCATTGTGGTTTTGATTTTCATTTCCCCGATGACTAGTGATGCTGAGCACATTTTCGTGTACCTGTTGGACATCTGTATGTCTTCCACAGAGGAGAGTTGTTATTAAAAAACCAGCAAGATTTTGTGAGAATGTGGGGAAAAGAGAACTGTAGCCCTGGCTGGCATGGCTTGGTTGGTTGGAACACTGTCCCGTTCACCAAAGGGTGGCAGGTTCAGTTGCTGGTCACAGCATATGCCCAAGTTGCAGGTTTAATCTCCAGTCAGGTCGTGTGTGGGAGGCAACCAATCAATGTTTCTTTCACGTTGATGTTTCTCTCTTTTCCCCTTCCTCTCTCTAAAATCAATTAAAAAATGTTTTGTTTTAAAAAGAAGAGAGAACTATTGTGCACTATTGTTGGAAATGTAAACTGGTGTAGCCACTATAAAAAACAGTATGGAGGCCCGGCCAGTGTGGCTCAGTGACCTATGAACCAGGAAGTCACGGTTCGATTCCCTGTCACGTTACATGCCTGGGTTGTGGACTCGATCCCCAGTGTGGGGTGTGCAGGAGGCAGTTGATCAATGATTCTCTGCCATCATTGATGTTTCTATATCTCTCTCCCTTTCTCTCTGAAATCAATAAAAATATTTAAAAAACAGTATGGAGGATGCTCAAAAAATTAAAAATAGAACTTTCATATAATCCAGCAATCCCACTGTATATATGTATGTATGTATGTATGTATATATATATAGGGAACTGAAATTGGGATCTCAGAGAGAAATCTGATCTCTCATGCTCATTGCAGCATTATTCACTATACCCCTGAAAGCAACCTAAATGTCCATTGATAGACATTGTGAACTATTTTTTAATTCAATACAATGTTCATCTTCCACTTTGCTCTAACGGTTGCATCTTGTAATGTATTGTACTATGTGTGAGGTGTTGGCCCATCTTTTCTAGTGCCATTTATAATTGTTGATTTAGTCAGTGCCAATGGATTCAGATCAAATGCTTTCTTTTTCTTCTATTCACCAATGTAGCACTGTAATGTGTTCATTTGAATTTCTTACAAAAACATGACAGGTTATCATGATATCTATGTAAGCTTAATTGATAATTAAATTAACATTAATGCTTTCAGAATAATGATATTATAAACTTATTTTTCTAGTCCAGAAACATAAGCATGGACAATTTTATAATTTCAAATAAAGGCATGAGCGGAGATAACAAAGTTAGTAATATGATTGGAGCAATAAAGGAAAAAAAGAAAGATTTGTCACAAATGTCACATTAAGTGGAAACTGAAATTTGTTAGGGCAAAACAAAATAGTTATAGAAAAAAATTAAGATATATGACTGTGCATTTGTCAACACCCATACAGAGTGGATTTTTTTAAGTGAAGGCACTTTTGAATAAGATTTACATTTAAATCAGTGCATTTGAGTAAAGAATATGGCCATGCATAATGCTGGTGACCTTCATTCAGTCCCTTAAAGGACTTAAACAGAAGAATGACCTCCCCCAAGGAAGGAGAAATTTTCCAACAGATGGCCTTCGGCCTTGAACCACATCAGCTCTTTCTTGGGTTTCTGGCCCACTCACCTACCCGCAGATTCCGCACTTGCAGTCTTCATAATCAAGCGAACCAGTTCTTTAAATACATCTCTCGATGTGCACACATCCTATGGGTGCTGTTTGCCTGATTACCCTGCCTAATGCTCACTGCATCTCACACCATTACCGCATGGGAAGCCCCATCGCCCAGCTCCATCATTCTCTCATTCCTGTGGTCAGAGCAGGGAATCTGAGCACCTTCCAGGTTCTTAAGGTCCTTGCTTGGACCTCCCTACTGAAGGCTGTTTCTGAGAAGGTCTCTTTCCAGAAACTGACATCTCAGAGACTGAGGACCTGGAAAGGAGAGTTTAAAGTTAATCCTTGGAAAGCACAGAGTTGGATGGGCAGAAACTTACCTGTCAATGTTCTACCTTTGATCCTCTTCCTGGCTCTGGATTGATGCTGAAAGACAAGAAAAGAATGAGAGTCTAGGACTTAATTCTCACTGCTCTCTCTAGGCAAGTTGCATTCATTCACCATTCATGAATAATATGCTTTTCTGGATTAAACCAATTAAGATCAGTTTTTCATCCCTGTTACTCATTTTTAACATGGATAAAAAATAATTTTCTATTGTTTCTTCTCTGAAAACTCAAGTTACAAAGGTTTCCTGCAGGAGGTCTTCAGTTGATATTCCCACCAGCAGTCCCTTGCTGAAGGCACAGATTCTCAGATCATTAGGAACATGTCTGCTCCATCCTTGAGCACAGATGGGATAGTATCTGATCAGAGGTTTTCAGAGACTCAGCCCTGCCCTGCAGGTGATGAATATGTTTATTACCTTGATTGTGTTTATGGTTTCACAAGTGTATGCATATGTTCAAACCTATCAAATTGTATCCATTAAATATGTGAAGTTTTGGGGGTATCAGTTACACCTCCATAAAGTTGTTAAAACATAGCTGATGGGGCCATTTATAACATGGTGTATCTGTCTGTTTTATCTACCCATGCTAGCTGGATGTTTAAGGATCCATACTACTTATGGTCTTAATTCTTAAGATTGAGTTAGGGTTAAGTGGAAAACTCAAGCACTTTATCATTTCCCTATTTGATTTTTTTTACAATTCCTTTGTTAATGCTAATGAGTCACACCTTGCCCAAAATTCCCAAACCTTTTCCATCCCTGGGATGAAGTTTGAGGAGATGCCAGCTCCTCTTATTCAGTTTCCTTCTATTTCAATACCATTTGCAGAGCTGCCTGCCCACGAAGGACTGACCAACCCGACCGATTCTCGCTCCAGAGTAAACACATTTCTATTCAGAGCATGCCCTTCATTCATCCTATCTCTGGCATGATCATGTGTGGCCCAACTGTATCCCTGACTGATCATTTTTTTAAAAATATGTTTTTAAAAAATTGATTTCAGAGAGAGGAAGGGAGAGGGAGAAAGAGATAGAAACATCAATGATGAGAGAAAATCATTGATTGGTTGCCTCCTGCATGCCCCACACTGGGGATCGAGCCCACAACCCAGGCAGGTACCCTGACAGGTAATTGAACTATGACCTCCTGGTTCATAGGTCGACCTCAACCACTGAGCCCTAACCCTAACCCCAATCCAACCCTAACCCTAAACCTAATCCTAACCCTAACCCTAGCCCTAACCCTAACCCTAACCCTATCTCTATGAACATTATTCTTTGTTCCAAACTTTTGAAATGCGGTTGCATCCATCATGACCCTTTGCTTCTAAGCTCTTCAGTGTGGATTTCCTAAGAAAAAGGATAGTCCACTACAGTTATCAACTTGCGTAACTTTAACATGGACACTCTTAACTGATCTCTATCTCAATTTTGTCCCTTAACCCACCTGGAAATTCCCGTACAGCATGTTTTTCCTCCAGTGCGGGACCCATCAAGAATAACCTATGGTGCTACTAATTGTGCTCCTTTAGTGTACTTTACATTGTGTCCTTTTAGTCTCCTGATATCTGTCTTTTAGGATGTTGACGTTTTTGAATAATGCAGTCAATGAACCATTGTTAGAGCTTCTTCTTCTTCTCACCTGGAAATAGTTTTCCTGAAGTTCATTTTTGCTTAAACTTCGAAGGATATTTTTAGTTACGGGAGTCCTTTGGCCTTTAAAATCAATCAGGGAGCCCACTGGTGTGGAGTTGGTTTTGGTTTAGGGTTAGGGTTAGGGTTGAGTTAGGGTTAGGGTTGGAAAGAGAGCAAATTGGATAAATGATAAACACTAAGTAAAGCTGGGCGAAGGGTATTGGGGGAGCCTTTACCATCCTTGCAACTTTTCTATAAGTTTCAAATTGTTTACTAATAATATAGTTTAAGAAATTGTCCATTTATCAGTCCTACTATCTTGAAATCCCTTAGAGAGGAACAGATTTTTGTTTCAACGGCTGTCATCATCCTACTCACCTCCTCAAAGTAAAAAATTTCAACTTCTCAACAGTTTTATTAGGTTCTGCTTTAGGCAAAACCACTGGGATCTTCTTATTACAACTGTGGTTCTAACATTGTCATGGGTTTTAAGTAATATTGGGGGAAATCCAAGGAAATAAAAATGCACACTACATTTAAAAACCACATAATTAAAAGAATCAGCCCTGGCCAGGTGGCTCAGTTGGTTGGAGCATCACCCAGTACACCAAAAGTTTGGGGTTCCATTCCTAGTCACATACCTAGGTTGGAGGTCCGATCCCTAGTTGGGGTGTGTATGGGAGGCAACTGATTGATGTTTCTCTCTCACATCAGTGTTTCTCTCTCTCCCTTCTCTCTCTAAAACATCAATTTAAAAAACGCACACACAACCTCCAGTGAGGATAAGAAAAAACATAAAAGAATCACACTAATATCATGATTTGAAACTCTTACCTTGTAACATACCAGCTGCATAATTTCGGAAATGTCATTTTACTTATTTTTTTTCCCATCTCTTTACCTGGAAAGCAGAGGTAAAAATCCCTCATCACTTGATAAATAGTAGTTATTATTAAAAATACTAACAGAATCAATAGTAGCTTTACAGGACCTGAAATGTCTTTATTCAGAAGATCCCATTTATTTTCTGAGTGCATCTAGCCAGCTCTAAGCTCAATAATCCATGGGACACAGTCTTGCAAACCTATCGCTTGATTGTCCTAACCAAGATAGAGTGTTCCATTTTTATTATTTCTGCAAGTTAATGTCACTGCCCCATAATGCTGACCTGCTGAGGACCAACTCCAAGTTGGCCCCACCCCATTTCAGCCTTCGCCTGGTGACCCTCTAGCGAGTCCTTTAACCTCAGCCCTTACTCTGACTTTGAGCCCCTCCCAGTGTTGGGTGAGCAGATGCCACTGAAGTTCTCTTTCTCTTCCAAGCATTTTTCCATTGGGATAAACCTGCCGTGTTTTGCTTTACCAGGCCTTTTGTTGACTTTTTGTGCGTCTCCCTTATTCGTCATTTCCTCTCTGAAAAGTCAATGTGTAATTGTCACTTTCTAACAGGGACATTCTGTTGCCAGCCCTCTGCAGAATAGAAACAAGTACTGTGGGCACAGGTATTCCCCACTCTGCACTCTGTGAGTGCATCAGTGTGAACGTGTAGGAGGACATCTATGGCTGCATGAATGTCTGAATTGCATTTGGAAAGTGCAGACGGCCCAGTGTGGGGATGAAGAATGGACCTCACCAGCTTCTTGACTGAGGAGATGAAAATTCCTGACTTGAAAGCTTAAGACAATGAATAAGCCTCTATCATACAGCCCCATTCTATATAATAAAAGCCTAATATGCTAAGCGTCTGGTCGTCCAGTCTGTTCAACCAACCAAAGCGTAATATGCTAATGATATGCTAATGCCACTCAACTGCTTGCTAGGATGTGCACTGACCACCAGGGGGCAAACGCTCCAACCAATAGGTTAGCTTGCTGCTGGGGTCCAGCTGATCTGGACTGAGCGAGAAGGGCTGGACGTGCCCTAGAGCCCTCCTGCGGTCCCTCCCCGGCTGGCCAACCTCCCGTGTTTGTCCCCAGCCCTGATTGTGCACCAGTGGGTTCCCTCGGCCTGGCCTGTGCCCTTTCAAAATCCAGGACTCCTTGGGGGATGTCGGAGAGCCAGTTTTGGCCTGATCCCGCAGGCCAGGGAACCCACTGGAGCACAAATTTGTGCACTGGGCCTCTTGTACTAAATATTACTGAATGATTATCATTCATAAAGAAAGAATACAAAGGTTTTGGCACCTGACACACATAGTCACAAAAACATAACATATAGCTGTGTTTTTGGAGACTTTTTTAAAAGCAATTTTTGTCTCAAATCCATTTTTCCAGGTGTTACTTTTAAGAAATCCTGCAGAGACTTAGCATGTTAGAGTTGCTTATAACAAAAAATCACATTGGGAAATAAGAAAAATGTTTCAAATCACAAGGTAGCTCGAAAACAATATAATGACCAATATTTCTGCTCTCTGCCTCCCTTCCCCTGCAGAGAAAATCATCACGTTTATTTCCAGGGAATCAGATAAGAATGGAGCACAGGCATTGAAAAATGCACCTCACAACTTGGGAAGGATCTAAGGGGAGCATTAGTTTAACTCTCCATTTTATATAAGAAACTGGGCCCCACAGGTTTGTCATGGACCACACAGCCCTGCACATTCCACCCACACTTCAGCCTTGTCTCTAATTTGCTTTCCCTTTATGAAGGCCTCTTCCAGGCTTTCTAGAGTAATATCTATGTATTTATTTCTAATTTAGTTGTATTCCTTCTGCTATATTGATTTTTTTCAACTCTAATGGAAAATCCCATTCTTGTTCACCGATATGGAATTTGATGGCTTTTGCATCTAAGAGTCCTTTTTTATTCCTTTTCTTCCACCTCTATTTTTCCAACATTATTGAACTCCCACTACTGAATGACAAGTACTGGGATAGATGCTGTGGGTAGACAAAGTCCCTGCCAGAAAGGGCTCAGAGTGCTGCTTGCGCTACTTTCATGGTCATTAGTGAGGGTATAACCCATCCACCATTTTTGCAATTCTCTTGGTTCTTCTCGCTCTTTCCTATTTGGCATGGAGATGGCCTAGCTAGCTAATACTGGTTGTATGTATTTACCTGAGTACTCATATTGCCTGCCCATCTCTTAATTCTTAAGTCTGTCCATCCAACTATGTATCCCATCAGCCTGCTGCCTAGGGCAGCAAATCGCCTGATGTAGTATCTGGCCTAGCATGGGCATGTTTAATTTTATCACCTAATTCTCACAATGAGCAGTCTTTGGTCCACAGGGTACACAGCCCTGAATGATGTACAATGGAAACCTTGCACACAGTGGTTTTTACCCCTGTCCCCTCAGGGATGACCATGTTGTTCAGGTGCTTCCTCTGTCGTTTTTTAAAGCTGTAAAATGAGATTTAAAAATAGTACCGTATAATCAAATCTCTTCAAAATACCAGCAGAGAATCAGTAAACCTCTGGAAACTTGAGTCTTCATGTTCTTCATGGTTAGTCTCTTAATTAACAGCTTAGAGATCCCACCTGCTGTCAAAATAATTGTGCCATCCTTTCACTTAATTTTTATATGACCTCAAGGGATTCCCTTTTTGTTTTGTTTTGTTTTGCTTTGTTTTGTTTTGTTTTGTTTTTTCCTTCCTGGAGACTCACTGCACTTCCCACATGACTGTTCTCATACAGTGTTTCAATGCACATGTGACCCCAAGGAAAAACAGAAAAGGAGAACCGTTGCTTCGTTAAAACGTGAGAGCCTTTTCGATGGGAGGGGCTCTGAGAGAAGGGAACTGCCTCGTTAAAACTTTGAGCTGTGCTTGAACACATCCTAAAATGATTTAATTGCCTGTTCCGGTTATAAATTATAAGCTGGGGAGTTTAAAGCCAACTCCCATTGACTAATAAAATGAAAAATATTGGGGTAGGCCAGATACTCGTTTTCTTTATGAATTGGCAAGATGAAATGTTCTTTACAAGTGACAGTTAACAAAAGTTAGATTAAAAAGATGCCCGGAGGGTATGTGATTCATAAGAAGTATGGAATCTGGATCTACCTCCAGATAAAGAGTGCTAATAAATTACATGCACATCAAATGTAGCTGCTGATACAGTAATAAATGTTAATGTAAAACAAAACTCAGAAGATCTGCTTTGGCAGCCTGCAACCTGCAGGCCAGCCTGGCAGCTGTGTCACTCAGACTTAATCAGGGGAAAGGATATATATATATATATATATATATATATATACACACACACACACACACACACACACACACACACACACACACATATTTACTTCAGAGAGGAAGAGGGAGAGAGAGATAGAAACGTTAATGATGAGAATCATTGATTGTCTGCCTACTGCACACCCCACACTGGGGATCAAGCCTGCAACCTGGGCATGTGCCCTGACCAGGAACCCAACCGTGAACTCCTAGTTCATTAGGTCAACACTCAACCACTGAGCAACACTGGCCAGGCAAGTCTGTATCTTTTTATATGAAACCGCAAGAACAGAACGCTCTGGGGCTACCTAATGAGAAGGCATTACAGTTCCCTTAAGAGAAATGGGTTCTTGGGGAGAAAAGATTTTGTGTAACAGTCCCCCAGAAGGTCAAGTAAGTGATGCTGCTGAAGAACTAGCATATAACAACAATAAGAAAAGATGAGCTTAGATGCTTGCATTCATGGTGTTTTAGGTAGACCACAATACTTGCCTAATCCCACTCTCCTTCACAAAATAATATCTGATTTTTTATTTCCACCTAATTCATTTGTATACTTGCTCTTTGCTTTCATCCCCAAAAGTACTCTCATTTTGAAAACTTTGATGACAAAATTAACGTTTTGGAGTTGGCTTGGATGTTCACTATATGCTGAAAATCGGGAAAGTGACATGAAATAAAAAGACCCCCCCCCCCGTATTGAAACTGGAAAACTGGTTCCCTATCTGCCTTGAGTTAGCTGTGAGACCACTTCCTGTGGAAATCCACTTCCTGTCTCTGCACCTCTATGTTTTCATTTATGACAGGAGGACCCTGGCCTCGGTGACCTGCACACTCCCTCCTAACTGCAAATTATGACTTCGTAAGCTCCGTCCTTGCACGCCCAAGGCTCATTCAAATGGCTTCAGGAATGTAAAAATAAGAGAGACATGTCCAAGCCCCCTCCCCAGATTTCCTAATCTAATTTATACAGTGTGGGACCTGGCCCTGGGGAGTTTGAAGACTCCCAGATGGTTGGAATGTGCAGCCAGGGTTGCTGACCACTGCCTCACGAACCAGCTTAGGCTTCCCATTTCTCAGCCCTTGTTCAGAATCTCTAACAGCATGTGCAATCGTCTGAATCATCCAATTTAGCATTCCTTTTCCCAGCTAGCTTAGGTTTTCCTTCCCAGATTGTTAATGTCTTTTTCTGTGTTGATCACTGAGCCAACCGCTGCTCACGGCAGGTTCTGGAAATATTTCTGAAAACTGAACCTTTTTATTGTCCATGTTCTTGAACTGCAAAATATGTGTAAGTGTTGATTTTATACATGAGGTTAGGTTTGCTTGAGTTTCTATCCTGTCTCAAAACCACCACAACTTATTGTAGTTAGTCTATTACTGAGATGTCTGTGCTAGACTGTGAACTCCATGAAAGCAGGGGCCACCCCATTCACCTTTGTTTTTTTTTTTTTTTTTTAAATATATTTTATTGATTTTTTTACAGAGAGGAAGGGAGAGAGAGAGAGAGTTAGAAACATCGATGAGAGAGAAACATCGATCAGCTGCCTCCTGCACATCTCCTACTGGGGATGTGCCCGCAACCCAAGTACATGCCCTTGACCGGAATCGAACCTGGGACCCTTCAGTCCGCAGGCCGACGCTCTATCCACTGAGCCAAACCGGTCTCGGCACCCCATTCACCTTTGTAATCCCTACCACTTACTACCTAGTCAGACCAAGAGAGGCATGGAATAAATCACCACTGAATGAATAACTGAATGCAGGAATAAGTGCTTGGATAAATGCATTTAAATTCATACCAGTGTATTGACTTGGTCATGGAAAGGGAGTATACAGTCATCTGTATCCTGAAGTGGGGCATGTGTGCGTGTGTGTGTGTGTGTGCATGGGCGTACATGTGCATGTATGTGCATATACATGGGTGTATGTGCATGTATGTGTCTATATGCATGTCGATTTCAGATGCACTATCACTGCAAGCATTCTTAAGAGGATCCAAAACTTGCTGAGTATTCGAAAGGATCCCTCAGCACCTCGTGGTTCTGCACAGCTGGTAGCTCTGCTCTCCATAGCTATCGTCCTGGGAAATATGGTATTAATACTGAGTGAACAGATGGTGTAGGGTGTGTTACTTAAGACAGTTTTGCCAGAAGGTAAATTTATGCTTTATAAATGCACTTCAAAACTATGCTATTTGATTTAATCACTTAATGCAAAGACAGCTGCATACTATATTTGCCTTAACTGCAGTTATATGGGTTATCTGCCAATCTGTTAATTATAGTATTTTGAAAGGCTTCAGGAAAACAACAGTAATTATACAGATTGGGGTGGGGGGGGGGAACATTTTTGAAGCCTAAATTCAGACATTCATTCCCAGCTAACAAAAAACTTATTGAAGATTTAGAAAACCTGTTAGGAAAGTGGGAGTGGATGTGATGGTTTTCCTTCTCAAGGGGCTTATGTGTGTCCTCATTCTGCATTAATGACCGTGGGCAACTGCGGGGAGATGGGGACAGAGGTGTGCTCCCACTGGACACGGCTCCAGCCCCTCCTGAGGTCTCTGAGCCAACTGTTCAACTCCTTCAAATTACAAAGAGGAGGAGGAAGGCGAGGAGGATGAAAAAGAGGACGAGGAGGGTCTGCTTTAATTATAAGCACAGTTTTTAATACTTTCCCATAACCTGCTTGCTCCCTGAGCTCTCACTACTGATCTTTTCTCTGTGAAACAGTTGCAGTAATTATTAAGCAGATTGAACTGGTACTTTATCAAGGAAGGGTGGGGGTAGTCTGACAGCTTCCTTTTCTTGCCAGCTCCTAGATGCCACATTTGCAGAAGTCTGACCCATTTCCCCTATCCTCTGGGAGTTCATGTTCAATGCATTTCATTGCCATTTTGAGAACAAGATTCCTGTGGGCAGCTGTACTAGGTGGGATAAAAGGCTGTACATCAGAGAATTCTGGAAAGAGTATTAGATTATCTGGTCTAACACTCTCATTTGACCAGTGAGGAAACTGGGGATCCAAGTCCCTTAATTCATTCACTTTCCCAAATTAGTTAAGAAAAACGGGGACTGTGACCAGGGAACCTCTTTTATCAGCTTAGGCCCTTTTAAAATGAACCCTGCTGCCTATGTAGAGGCTATAAAGCAACAATAATGAAACAGAAAGAGCAAAGACTGTATTTCCTGTCCTGTGTCTAAAGGAGAAGCCAGTAATGCCAACAGGAGTTGTCCTAATTGGCTGCCTAGGGCCTCCATGTTCCACAGCTTCCAGCGCTACCCACACTGGGAACGGTGCCCTGTGGAACTGTGCAACCCAGCCCAGAGGCTGCAAGGCACTGTACCCAAGGACTTTCCCAACATTAACACTGCTAACCCCTGGCGGTGCCAACATCATTCCATGCACTCCACTGCGAGGGAAAGCAGCTCTCAGAGGTTAACGTGCTGGTGTCACCCAGATGATTTCTCATGGAGTCTAATCCTCAGACTTGGAATTACTGGATCAAAAGGTATTGCCTTCCCAGGAAAACATTGGTGTTCTCGACATCCTCCCCCCCAAGTGGACTAAAAGTACTTACTCCCATTCTCCGAGGCCCTAGTACTGTGTCTGCTCTCCCCAGGCGAGTAGTTTTGTGACTTGTGACTCCCAGGCACAGCCGTTCATCTGACCAACGTCTTCACAGCCACGTTTTCTGCAACATTCAACAAACCTCAACTGAGAAACGGACAGGAGCTTAGGCCAGGTCCCCAGAGCAGCCATTTCCAGGTGGTCCTGGTCATGCTGGCACACAGGTGCCCAGCCAACCTAGAGGAGTATCATTTTTTCTCACTTCTTGTGTTAGGGGAAGGAAAGGCCAATGCCAAGGTGGGCAGGTGGAGGAGGAACTGGAGAGGGATGGCTTGGATCATGACCCTTCTTAAATCATATTCACCTCATGATAACTGCACCTAAGCTATGAAGGAGCTGGGAGGTACTTGCATCTTCAGTGGCTCCTAGTACTTCCATTTCCTTGCGGCTCTTTAGATCAAAATTGTGAAACTGGCAACTTATCTGAGTCTTCACGTTTCAGCTTTGATCCACTTTAATATAAAAAGGCAAGTGTTTTATTAAAATTTTAAAATGCATACCTATGTTTGATCACAATTTTCTTATGTTTCAGGCAATATTTTTATTACTATTCTTTGGCTGCTGCTTTCTCTAAGAAGTTCCTTTTCTGACTTTTTGCCATATCTCAAAAAAAAAAAAAATTAGTCATCTTTGAACGAAATAAGTGTATTCTCTACCCAGTTAAAGAAGTTCATACATGGGAGGCCAGCATTCCAAAATAGGAGAAATTCTTTCTGGTTTATACTGGGTATGGCACAGGATTGTGTGTGTGTGTGTGTGTGTGTGTGTGTGTGTGTACTCTTTGTGGTATAAAACAGCTATGAGCAAAGTTTCTGCCACTAGCCCAATTACCCATTCCTCTCCTTCCAAAGAATGCATTGTTCCTAGGAGGTTGTGCAAACTCGGGGGAATTCCAGCTTTTTAGAGATTCACAGCCCCACATAAAAAATCTAGGTGTCTCCTGGCATCCTCATTTAACCAGCACTGCACCTGGCAATCCTTTCCTTAGATACTGTGATTTAAAGTAGAAAGAAAAATCTCCCACTGTCATCAAAGTTATAACCTGTGTTTGCATCTGCCATTATCACTGCTGCTTTGGAGAGATTTCTGAAACAAGGGAGCAAAACCAACTTCATTCAATTGTCTACAAAATGGAAGCCTTCTCTTTTATAAATCACTTGTGTTTTCCTTGTATTTCATTTCATTTTTTAAAATCTAGTAAGTTTTACTTTTTAAATACGGAAAAAAAACCCAGACCCACTCAAATGTAGCCAACTGATCTTTAGGAAAAACAAAAAAAGGCAATTTAATAGAAATAGGATAGTCTTTCAATAAATAGCTGGAACAATGGCACGCTCATATGCAAAAATATGAATCCAAACACAGACCCTGCATCTTTCACAAAACATAATTCAAAAGGGGTCATAATCCGAAGTGAAAAATGCAAAACTATATAATTCCTAGAAGATAACATAAGAGAACTTCTAGATGATCTTCAGTTTGGGAGTTTTTAGATGCAACACTGAAAATATAAAAAAAATAAGTTGGATTTTACTAAGAAAAACTTCTGTTTTCTGAAAGATACTGTCAAGTGAATGAAAGACAAGGCATACATATACTTGGAGGAAGTATCTGCAAAATATTCATCTGAAGAGTTACTTGTGTACAACAGACACAAACTTTAAAAATTCCACAATAAGAAAACAACCCAATATAAAAATGGGCAAAAGGTGCCTGAATAGATATCTCACCAAAGAAGATATATATGTGGGAAATAAGCATGTAAGAATACTCTAAACATCACATCGCATAAGAGAAATTGTAAATTAAATCAACAATGAGATATACTACACACTTATCAGAATGGCTAAAATCCAAAACACTGACACCACCAAATGCTGGTGAGGGTGCAGAGCCACTGGAACTCTCCTCCACTCCTGGTGGGGACACAAACCGCCACAAGCATTGTGCAAGAAAGTCTGGCAGTTTCTCACAAAACTAAGCTTACCCTTTTCCCTAGCCAGTTTGGCTCAGTGGATAGAGTGTCAGCCTGTGGACTGAAGGGTCCCAGGTTTGATTCCAGTTAAGGGCACATGTCCAGGTTTTGGACGCGATCCCCAGTAGGGGGTGTGCAGGAGGCAGCCAATCAATGATTTTCTCTCATCATTGATATTTCTCTCTCTCTCTTCCTCTCCATTCCTCTCTAAAATCAATAATATATATATATATTATTCATTTCATTTATATATATTCATTTCATTTTATAAAACAATGTATATTATTGTATTTCATTTCATTTTTTAAAATCTAGTAAGTTTTACTTTTTAAATACAGAAAAAAAGAAACCCAGACCCACTCAAATGTAGCCAACTGATCTTTAGGAAAAACAAACAAAGGAAATTTAATAGAAATAGGATAGTCTTTCAACAAATAGCTGGAACAATGGCAGATATTTAAATTGGGTTGTTTTCTTATTGTGGAATTTTTAAAGGTTGCGTCTATTGTACACAAGTAACTCTTCAGATGAATATTTTGCAGATACTTCCATATATATATATTTAAACACATGACCCAGCATTCATACCCATTTGAGTTAAAAACTTAATGCCCACATACAAGCTTGCACATGTTAGGCAGCTTCGTTCATAATTACCAAAAACTAGAAGAAATCGAGAAGCCCCTTAATATGTGATTGACAAATAAACTGGTACATTCATATAATGGACTGTTATTCTGTGATAAAATAACTAAGCTATTGAGACATGAAAACCATGAAGGAATTTATTCTCTTTAGATAGATAGGAAATTATATGACATTCTACAAAAGGCAGAACCATCAAAGCAGTAAAAAGGTGAGTGGTTGCCAGGAGGAGGAGGGAGATGAACAGGTGAAGCACAGTGGATTTTAGGTGTTGAAACTATTTTGATGGTGCTGTAATGGCAGGTAAATGGCATTATGCCTTTGTCAAAACCCATAAGCTGTGCAATGTCAAGCGTGAACCTTAATGTAAAGTAGGACTTTAGTTACTGATAATGTATTGATATTGGTTCATTAATCATAGCAAATACAGCACATCAGTGCAAGATATTAATAAGGACAATTGTGTTAGGTTGGGAGGAGGGATATATGGGAACTCTGTCCTATGCGCTCAAATAGAAAAAAAAACTTTAAACATCACATTTATTTTAAGAGGCCAGAACTTTGGGGTGTCATGATATCATTTATGAAATGATTTGGAAACTCCTTTTTCAGATAACCTTAACAAACTGTGATAAGAAGCAAAAGTTATTTTTTTCTTAGAGTTTCTGAAATAATCAAGTCATTAGAAGGTGACATAAGTGAAAAATTTATTTAAACACCTTTCTAAAATTTTGTTTATAAATAGAATTTCAATTTTAAAAACTGAAATTAAATATGTTTATGGCATGACCTATTTGTGAAAGATGGATTCCAGAAAGATTATGAGCAATGACAGTGTTATTAGCATGTTGCATCGTTTCTCAAGATGTTGATGTGGAAGACTGCCTTCATTTAGATGTCCAAATACTGATTTTAATAAAATCTTTTAGAAATGTTAATCTACTCCCTCATGCACACACACACACACAAATAAGGAAACAATGGTTAAGAGAGATGAGGGGCCAGGAAACAGGACCCTGATGGGAGAGATGGGTGAGAGGAGAAGACATGCATGGGACCACAGGTGGAGTATGGAAAAGGGAAGGAACGCCTGTTGGTTTGTAAGGCATTTTATTTCTGGTGCAATACATAGTGTTAGAACTAGGTCAACATTAAATTTATAATATTCATACTCACATTATTTACTTATAGAATACAAATGACACTCTCCTATAAATTACATTTTGTGAAACAATTCTGGAGTGATCCCCTCTACTGCTCAGCATGGCCTGAAGGCCAAGGGTATATCTTCTTTGTCCACCAAGCTCTTCTTTCTCAGAGATTCTTCTCACACAGAGCCACACCCGCTGTACTTTAAGTTGCCCTAGAGTGCCTCTTAAGACTTTACACAGAAAACCTTCTGGTAAGTGATTTAGAAATGGATCAAGTAAACAAAGAATATCGGTTTCCAGTGCATGCCATGGCTGTCAGAAGCACAGCTGGAGCAGGGAGCTCTGAATGCAGCTTCCATCTGAGCAACTTAAGTCTCTCCTTGCCCGGGAATAGTGCAAAGGATGCCACTGAGAGCCATACCCCTTTTGAGGAATGAAAATGGCATTTGGCCATGCAGGTTGCAGGGCATGATGCCTTGTGTTGCTTTCAGTCTCAACAAGGTTCCTTATCCCAATGGAATCCCATCAGATTCTTGCAAATATAACGTATATCAACAATTCTGAATTCTCTACAGACTACAGAGACCTAAGTCTACTACTAACACTTATACTCACTTAGCTCTACCTGATTATTTTTCCTATCATATTTCCCCAATTAAATAGTAAATTCCTTAAAGTCAGGAAATATGTGTTTTCTATTTTTGGCTCCTAACACCACTCTTAATTGAAACACAGGGTGTGCTGAAGAAATGTTTAATTAAATTTTTAAAACTTTCACATAGATTTCATTCACACCGAAGTAAATATATTCAAAAGCATATGTGGTACGGGATGTAAATTTGTTGTGCTTCTCCCTTTCCTTCTTGAAAGGATTATTCTTGTTCTAAAATAAATTTCAAAACTATATGTTAAAATAAACATAACTGCCTTTCATTTTTATTTTCTCCAAGGTTATTGCAAATCCTCTCATATTAATGTCATGTGCTATCACTGTAGACTTACCTACAAGCTCAGGGATATGTGAAGATAGCTATTATAATACATGAGCATGTGGATTTTTAGAATTTCTCTAGACTCTGTCTATATGAGTACTTAGGTGTACTTTTTATTCAGCATTGATTCATATTTTGACATATGTGTGAATATATCTAGAAATAAAACAAAATCTGGCCAAGACATAAAACAGACTTTTGATAGAACTGTTGCCTTTCCACAATACAACTTACACAGAAATGGTTGAAAATGAAATCCTCGTTGCAGGCTTTCAACTTCCAGCCATGTTAACGTAACTGGGGTCAGACTTGTCATCTTGCTGTTCAAGGAAAATAACCTGCAAACTGGTCAAAATATCAGATAAAAGTATATTCAGGTGGTGGAATACAGGCAGTAACAGACAGTGATCCAGGAGGAGAAAATAATTGTGATGATTCCTATAACTCATCCTGATGATAAAAGCCTGAAGATTTGTTTTTGAAATCCTCAGCGAGGGGGGGGGGGGGGGAGAGTGAGAGAGAGAGAGAGAGAGAGAGAGAGAGAGAGAGAGAGAGAGAGAGAGAGAGAGAGGAAGAGAGAGAGAGAGAGAGAGAGAAACATTGATTGGTTGCCTTCTGTATACTCCCTGACTGAAGATCAAACCCACAGTCCAGGTATGTGCCCTGACTGAGTATTGAACCTGCAACCATTCAGTGCATGGGGCAACACTCAAGCAACTGAGCCACTCAGGCCAAAGTCTGAAGAATTTTTTAATGGACCATAGTGCAGGTAAACAGAACTCAAGCAGAACTCAGACAACAAATTTGGAGTTTGGGGAGGCCAGAAAAACTTGAATTTTCATACAGAGACACAGGACTATCCAGAAAATATCTCCAGAAATCTGAATAGGGGTTCCTGAACATAATATTGCACATGCATAGGATAAAACTCCACAAGGAAACCACTGGAATCCTGTAACATGAAGAGTTCTCAGAGCTCCCACAGGGCTGGGCGTGTATTTACAGTTTGTCAGAGTAGAGTCCTTGTTGAAAATGCAGGGTATTCAAAATGGACACTTAAAAATGTATGCCTTAGTCATACAGTTAAACTAGCTGTAGAGTAAAAGCTATTCTAGACCTGCCCTAATAGTGCTTAAAAGCAAGACTCCAAGGTATCAAGCTGATGTGTAAGTTATATAACTACCTGTCAGAATAAAACTCAAAAAAATATTTATATAAATAAAAAAACTATCCAGCACCTCACAAAATAACATTCACAATGTTTGACATCCAACCCAAACTGAAGGGTAGGGAAACATGACCTATAATGAGATTGATCAATCCATAAACACTGCTCAGAATTGACACAGAGAAGAAAGAATTTTAAAATATTAAAAGAGCACTAGTAAATTAAGGGACAAATTAGAGCACCTCATGCCAATGGTCTAACCGGAGTCCCTGAAAGAGAGGACAAGTGAGAAAGCATTTTTGAATAAATAATGGCTAAAACATTATTTAAATTTGTTTAAAATTATAAACTTACAGATCCATGAACCTCTAGTGTAAGAAACATTAACAGTATTTCTCAACACCAGTAGTAAAGAAAAACATCTAAGAAGCAGTCAAAGAAAAAAAAAAGCACATTCTGTACACAGGAACAAAGATAAAGATGACAGCAGATATCTTATCAAAATCGATGTACATGAGAAAAGAATAGGATAAGTTCTTTAAAATAGTAAAAGGGAAAAAAAAAACCTTTGCAAACTTAGAATTTTATATCTAGTAAAAAATATCTTTCAAAGGTAAAGACAAAAATAAACACTTTTAATTACAAAAGCTGAATTAATCATCAGAAAATCCACATTTACAAGAAATGTTAAAAGAAGTCCAACCAGGAGAAAAATGATACTAGATAGAAATATCGATCTAAAAAAGGACTAAAGCACGAACCAAGATGGTGGCATAGGTTAATGCCGGAGTTTGCTGCCTTGAACAACTACTTCAAAAGTGAAACTAAAAAACGGAATGGACATCACCCAGAACCACAGGAACGCTGGCTGAGTGGAAGTCCTACAACTAGGAGGAAAGAGAAACGCATACGGACACTCAGAGGAGGCGCAGTGCTGAAGTCAAATTCTGAGGTGCAGAGTGCGCGGAGCGGGCTGGCGGCGGAGGGCGCGGTTGGCGTTTTCAACCGGGAGGGAGTCGCAGACTCTGAGCTCCAGATACAGGCGAGTCTTTAGGGACCCAGACTCAAACAGGAGAAGCGGGACTGTCTGGCTTCGGTCAGAGCGAGTGCAGCTTTCTCTCTGAGGTTTGCAGCGGGTGCTGGGACTCAGAGAGGCAGAGCCCCTGGGGACAGGACTGAGAGCCACCATAACTGCTCTCTCCGGACTATCCTGTTGATCCTGTGCGACCCGACCCGCCCCACCCTGCCCCGCCCAAGCCCTGCACACAGGCATTTGCCGGATAGCCTCAGGCAAATGCCAGATTAGCACCTCCCTAGAGGACAGAAGTTCTCTCACTGCAGACACAGCTGATTCTCATAGCCACTTGGCCTGGAGGTCAAACCCTCCCTGGTATTAGCTACAACAAGCAAGGTTTAACTATAAGACTGCGCACAAAGACCACTAGGGGGTGCACCAAGGAAGCATAACAAAATGCGGAGACAAAGAAACAGGACAAAATTGTCAATGGAAGATATAGAGTTCAGAACCACACTTTTAAGGTCTCTCAAGAACTGTCTAGAAGCCGCCCATAAACTTAATGAGATCTACAAGAAAACTAATGAGACCCTCGATGTTATATTGGGGAACCAACTAGAAATTAAGCATACACGGGCTGAAATAACGAATATTATACAGACTCCCAACAGCAGACCAGAGGAGCGCAAGAATCAAGTCAATGATTTGAAATGCAAGGAAGCAAAAAACACCCAACCGGAAAAGCAAAATGAAAAAAGAATCCAAAAATGCGAGGATAGTGTAAGGAGCCTCTCGGACAGCTTCAAGCGTACCAACATCAGAATTATAGGGGTGCCAGAAGATGAGAGAGAGCAAGATATTGAAAACCTATTTGAAGAAATAATGACAGAAAACTTCCCCCACCTGGTGAAAGAAATGGACTTACAGGTCCAAGAAGCGCGGAGAACCACAAACAAAAGGAATCCAAAGAGGACCACACCAAGACACATCATAATTAAAATGCCAAGAGCAAAAGACAAAGAGAGAACCTTAAAAACAGCAAGAGAAAGAAACTCAGTTACCTACAAGGGAATACCCATACGACTGTCAGCTGATTTCTCAACAGAAACTTTGCAGGCCAGAAGGGAGTGGCAAGAAATATTCAAAGTGATGAATGCCAAGAACCTACAACCAAGATTACTTTATCCAGCAAAGCTATCATTCAGAATTGAAGGTCAGATAAAGAGCTTCACAGATAAGGAAAAGCTAAAGGAGTTCATCACCACCAAACCAGGATTATATGAAATGCTGAAAGGTATCCTTTAAGAAGAGGAAGAGGAAGAAAAAGGTAAAGATACAAATTATGAACAACAAATATGCATCTATCAACAAGTGAATCTAAGAATCAAGTGAATAAATAATCTGATGAACAGAATGAACTGGTGATTATAATAGAATCAGGGACATAGAAAGGGAATGGACTGACTATTCTTGGGGGGGAAAGGGGTGTGGGAGATGCGGGAAGAGACTGGACAAAAATCGTGCACCTATGGATGAGGACAGTGGGTGGGGAGTAAGGGCGGAGGGTGGGGCGGGAACTGGGAGGAGGGGAGTTATGGGGGGGGGGGGAAAGAGGAACAAATGTAATAATCTGAACAATAAAGATTTAATAAAAAAAAGGACTAAAGCACATGAAATGTTGCTTAACATGATTATTCATTAGAGATATACAAAGTAAGACAAAGTAAAACCACTATACACCTAACACCTCTTAGAATAACTGCAATAAAAAGAGTGACCATTGCCCTAGCTGATTTGTCTCAGTGGATAGAGCTTCGGCCTGAGGACTGAAGGGTCCCAGGTTCGATTCTGGTCAAGGGCACATGCCTGGGTTGCGGGCTTGATCCCCATTTGGGGATGTGCAGGAGGCAGCTGATTGATGATTCTCTCTCATCATTGATGTTTCTATCTCTCTTTCCCTTCTCTCTGAAATCAATAAAGATATATTTAAAAAAATAAAATAAAATAAAAAATAAAAAAAGAGTGACCATATGAAGTGTTGGTGAGGATATGAAGAAAGTGAAACTCATACTATATAATAAAAGGTTAATATGCAAATTGACTGAATGGGGGAACAACAGGTCACTATGATGCACACTGACCACCAAGGGGAAGACGCTCAACAAAGGAGCTGCCCCTGGTGGTTAGTGCACTACAACAGGGGGAGCGCTGCTTAGCCAGAAGACAGGCGGGGATCAGGCCTAAGCTGGCAGGCAGACAAAGGGCACAGGCTGGGCTGAGGGACCCCTCCGCCCCCAGTGCACGAATGTCATGCACCAGGCCTCTAGTATTTGATAGTGAAACTCATATTTGATAGTGGTACAGTTTGGAAGTTTCAGATAGATTATATATATATATATATATATATATATATATATATATATATATATATATAAAATTATAAATATATATATAAATACTAGGGGCCCAGTGCACGAAATTCATGCACTGAGGGGTGGGAGATGGTCCCTCAGTCCAGCCTGCCCCCTCTCACATACTGGGAACCCTCAGGGGATGTCCTACTGATGGCTTAGGCCCACTCCCTGCTCCAAGGGGAGCAGGCCTAAGCCACAGTCTGGCCTCCCTTTGTGGGAGGTGACCAGGCTGATCAGGGGAAGGCACCAGCCCCATCACCCCGCTGCTTCAGCCACTGCCAGTCACTGCAGCCACCAAGGTGTTTTCATCAACACGGACTCCAGTCCCTTCACCATGAAAAAATGACAACTTTCTTTAGGCATTTTCAAGATGTGTCTTTCATAGGATATGACATTTCTTTGTTATTTTTTAAAATTCTCACCTGAGGATATGTTTCCATTGATTTTTAGAGAATGTGGAAGAGAAAGGGAAAGAGAGAAACATCAAAGTGACAGGAACACTTTGGTTGGCTCCTGCATGAGCCCTGACCTGGGCCCCAGCCAGGGAGGAGCCTGCAACCTAGGTACATGCCCTTGGTCAGAATTGAACCCAGACCCTGTGGTCAGTAGGCTGAGGCATTATCCACTGAGCCAAACCGGCTAGGGCAGGATATGACACTTCTTAGCTCTCTAGCAGCGGACCTTCGTTTTTTTTCTCCAGGAGTGAGGTGGAAAAACCCTAGATCACTTTCTTGGAT